TTATCTTTGTGGCCACGGGAATCCCCTTCCAGCCTGCTCCTGCCATCAGGGAGACTCCAGGGGGCTTTGATGTCGGGTCTTATCTTCATTTTCTCAGACCTGGAACGGAGCGCCGGTTCCTTTCAAGAAGGGAAGGGTAGAGACCGCAGTCTGGTGAGGGCGATGCCCATACCGTTGATACTGTCACTGTTCAGCTGACTCGGTGGGTCATCGGGTCAGACCCTTTGGGGACAAAGCCAGAGGGAAGTCCTACGAGCATTTGGGGGACAGAGGTGCACGTGGTGGCTGACAGCAAGACGCCGCTTGTCATTCCATGTCTTCCCCCGTGAGGCCAGGTCACGGGTGAGAACAGAACAGGTCACTCCGGCCGTTTGGCGGGGAGCAGATGGGGCCGTGCCACCTGGATCAGGAGAGGGATGGGAAGGGGTTGACATGGGGTGTCACTGCTTGCAGAAGTGGCTGTCGTTTGGACAACTAGTAGCTTGGGTGGGGGGAGGTGTTCCTGTTTGAGAAGAAGGGTTTGAGGGTCACAGATACGCACAGAGCCTGTGACTCAAGGGTGATCCGGGCTCTGGAGATAGCGGGGTTAAGGCTGTTGCAGAGGGCTGAGGCCGCCTTCCCGCCAGCGCTCACCAAGGAGCCAGGCGCGCTCTGACTCACAGGCCTGGCAGCAGAGGCCCTGCTCTAACGCTGAGAAAGCTTCGAGCGCTGGTTCTGAGACGAGTTTCAGAGCCTGGGCTGCTGGGGGTGTATGTACTTTTCTCCCTAAACTCCTGGATCCTGGGGAAGACCTGCAGGCTGCGTTTGTCTTCTGCTCCTAGGCTGGCGTTTCTGGCCTCTTAAAAAAAAATGTTTGTGCTCTGCAGACTTCACATTTGTGAGCCTTACCCTTGGGCGGGGGCGGGTGGGGGGCGCAGAACACAAGACTCAGATCCTGGTGCTGTTACTTCCTCTCACTTGAAAGAGAGAGAGGAAGACTCTAAACATTCGGGCGTGTGTACTGCGTGTCCCGAAGTTCTAAGGGCTGCGGATTAGTCAGTAAGCAAAACAAGACATTCAGTGGGCGGCCGGTCAGCATACCTTCTCGAGTCCCCTGGAGACAACCGGGGATTTGACGGATGCGAGTCTCGGCAGGAAATGGGGCTCCCTAGCCTAGGGCCAGGGGTGAGGCGCAGGGCTGGCGCCGGCACCAACCCAACACACGGCCCCCTAGTCCGAGCTACCGAACTCATGCCCACCCCCCACCAGAGTGTAAGCGCCTGCGCGCTGACCCCCTTACCGCACGGTGCCAGTTCACCTGCAGTGGTTTTTAAAAACCGCGTTCTGACCTTTAGCTGTAAAGCCGTCGATAGGTTGCCAAACAGCCTGGCGTGTCCACACTGCCGAGCACGACTTGGTAACAAAGAGGAATGGCTGGGTAAAGGCGACAGACAGACAAGGGTGAATCGCAAAAACATACCGGGCAAGAGGAGCCAGACACGAAAGCACACGAACTGAATAGTGTGTGATCTACGTGAAACCGGAATCTGGAGCCACGAGGCTGGTTTACACGCGGGACCGGGGGCGGGTGTGGGGACGTGGCCTGAGAAAAGGTGTTTGCGCAACTAAACATTCCTCAGATGTCCAGTTCCTCCCAGGTACAATTAAAGCATACATTTAAAAACTTCATGTAAATAGTGCTTTTTAAAAGGCCTTTGTGGCCGGCTACCTGTGGGCCTGTGGGGGCCCACAAGGGGTGATCCGCCATGAGCTGTTGGCACCCTCACCTGCCACACCCTTCCCCTGGCTAGCCCCACCTGTCGCCCCGCCTTCTGCTGCTTCCAGGCACTGGGCATCTTGTGCCTGGAATATTCCTTTGCACGGATGACACTCGGCCGACGGGCCGTCTTCCCCAGCTGAAGTGTTTTTTAGAGCAGGGAACTGGGCCACCCTTAGCCAGGGTCTCACACCCAGGAGGACCCCGATAAAGAGTGACAGAATTCATGAGAAATGACAACCGGACACAGGGGCGCATGTCAAGTGCCATGTGAACATAAATTGAGAACATTTAAGGTGCACATGTCTGTTGCATAGGTACGAGGAAACTGGGTGCAGGGGTGTGAATGTTGGGGAAAAAGGTAAAATGGGATTTGGAGTCAAAAAAGATTCTGGCTAAGCAATCTCTTCGACCATAAATTAAGAACAACCCTGCCTCCCTACTTCATGGAGTGAAGAAATGAATGTGGAAATAACCCAAAAACCATAATTAATATTATTAAAAATAACAGCTAAAGCGCGGGCTGCGAACCAAAGTATCGCAGGTTCGATTCCCAGTCAGGGCACATGCCTGGGTTGCAGGCCAGGACCCCCAGCAACCGCACATTGATGTTTCTCTCTCTCTCTCTCTTTCTCCCTCCTTCCCTCTCTAAAAATAAATAAATAAAATCTTTTTAAAAATAAAAAATAACAGCTAAAGCCTTCAGAGCCTTCCCGGTGTCCCTGGCGTCACTCAGTAGCACGCCAGTGTGCCGCCACCATGGTCCTCACCAGGGCGTGCAGACGGGCGGCACAGTCGCGGGCGCTCTGGTGCTTCCGTGTTCGAGGCAGCGCCCAAAGGTGCGGCCTCCCGACCTGAGTGTATACCCTTGAGTGGGCGTTCTGGTCAGTCTCACTTTAGTGACAGTCTCATTTGTGAGATGGACACACACACTTGACCTGAGCACTGAGCAAGTGGCAAGCATTTCAGGTAGAACAGCGCCATACACCTTTCCCATCTGCAAGGAACGGGCCAGGACGGCAGCCTTGAAGGGTAGGTTGTAGCGGGGAGACACTGCAAACACCCCACTCGGCCCGAACCACCTCTCGACTGGTCTGGTGGGTGGTCTCCCTATAAAGCAACATGGAGGACGGTGGCAGTGACTCAGGTCCCAGCAGGGCACTTCTGTCCACCTGTGTGCTTGGGGGTCGCACCTCTCTCGGGACAGGTGCGTTTTCTCCAGGACGTGGGACTTCCTAGTGACCCCAAGCCCGATTCTGGCAATGAGAATGTCGGAGTCAATGCAGCCCAGCGCTTCACACAGACACTTTCCCCATCACATGGCAGCTCACTGTGAAGAGGTTCTCCACCCTTAGGTTCAAGGCCAAAGCAGAGGCTGTCTGTTGAAGGTGGCCCCCCTTGGGAAGGGTACGTAAAATAGCTTGCAGAGAGGCCTGGTGTTTGGGACAGTTGTTGCTTATTTCACATTTCGAGACTCTAGGCAACAGCAGCGTTGGAGGGCACCTTAACCTCAGTCTACACGCCAGTGAAATGGGAGCATCGGCCACAGCCAATGACGCAAGGAGGCTTTAAATCCAGGAGTCCGGATTCCTGGGCTTGGCTTTGTGGCCTTGTACCCGGGCTTCTTTCCTACTATGACCTTTTCCCCTTAGCGTCAGACCAAAAAGCAGAGTCTGGGGGTGGGGGGGGTGAAGGGGGCTCTGGGGTGAGGCAGTTAGTTGCATGTGACAAGGACACTTTGAGGTTGCTGGGAAGGAGAGGAGTGGTGTCTTCGAAGGGGCAGAGGCAGTGAGAACAGAGGTTCAGGGGCGGGGAGCGGAGTCCTGGTTCAAGGAGGCAAACTGCTCAGCCTGCAAAGGGAAGCCAGTCTCTGTCCGGAGGCCGCAGCGGGGCCTAGAGTGGTCGCTGACCAGAGTCCTGCTGGCCCCTCTGGGTCCGTAGCCCGCCCAGGCTGGGGTTGCAGTGAAGCCTCGGGGACGCTAGGTGGCAGCCGTGCGTTTCCAAAGCTGGCTCGCGGACCCGTGAGCCCAGCTGGAATCCCTTGTACCCAGCCCGGAGCCCTGGAGGGGTAGTCGGAGACACCCTGGAGACCCCTCTCCGCTCAACCTCACAAGGTTTTCTGCACTTGTATCCAATGCAGGGGAGGGGAGACTGGAAGGGGATCACTCAGTGCGGCTAGCTATCCTAGAAGGCAGCTGGGACACGCCACGATCCTGCGTGTAGTCACGGGGCGGGTGAAAGCGACCCCCCTTAAGTGGGGCCGCCCCGGGGGCTGGGCCTGACCCGCCCCCTCCGCGCTCCCCCACCCCAGCGCCGGTGGGTGTGAGTGAGTGTGACTAGCGAATGTGGGCGAGCGAGGACGTTCCGCACCTAACTGCATTCTTGGGGACCACCGCCTGCCCGTTTCGGGCATTTGCGCCTCGGCGCGGGTCTTCGCTCCCCGGCGCAGAGCGCCGACGGCTTCCAGCGCTCACCAGCTCCAGTCTCGCGGGCTCTGCCCCTTCGGAGCGGCCGGTCCCCGCCGAGAGTCTGAGCACCTCCCTCCAACCGGAGCCGCCAGGAGGAGGAGGAGGCAGTGGAGAGGCCGCGGCAGGCAGGCAGGCAGGCAGGCAGGCAGGCAGGCAGGGCCGCCTTTGATGTGGGCGAGGCGCACCCAGGCGAGCTGAGCGCCCGTCCGGCCGCGCCCCGAGGGGGGAGCCCCCGGGCCCCGCATCCTCATTGTGCCGGCTCGGGCCCGGGCCCGCCCCCGGCCCCCCGCCCCCTCGCCGCCCGCGCGTAGAAAACGCCCCGGCCGCCGCCAGTGGTGGGAGGCGGCGATGCGCACGGCCAGAGAGACGCGGAGGAGGAGACATGAGCCGGCGGGCGCCCGGACGGAGCGGCCGTGACGCGTTCGTGCTGCAGCCGCGCGCTCCTCCGGCCCCAGAGTGCTGACCCCTGGCCCCGTGCAGCCCCGTGCCCCGGCCAGAGAGCGCGCCCTAGGCTCCAGTCTCGCCACGCATGCTGCCCCCGGAGTGAGCCGGGCAGCCAGCCTCCCGAGGACGCCCGGACGGCCGGCCGGCCGGTAGTGAGCAAGCTTCCCCGCACCAGCCTCCTGCACAGCCCGGAGGGCGCAGCGCTCGGGAGGAGCCGCGCGGGGCGCTGATGCCGCAGGGCGCGCCGCGGAGCGCCCCGGAGCAGCAGAGTCTGCAGCAGCAGCAACAGCCAGCGAGGAGGGAGCAGCAGCAGCGGCGGCGGAGGCGGCGGAGGCGGCGGAGGCGCCCGGTCCCGGCCGCGCGGAGCGGACATGTGCAGGCTGGGCTAGGAGCCGCCGCCTCCTCCCCGCCCAGCGATGTATTCAGCGCCCTCCGCCTGCACTTGCCTGTAAGCGCTCGCGCGGGGCTGCCCACCCTGCCTGGCCGTCCGTGCGCCCGTGTGCCCGCGGCTCTATCTGCCCGCCCGTCTGACTTTCCGACTGCGTGTCTGTCTGTACGCGCGCCCCCCTCTCTGGCGTCCCACTGACCACCTCTCCATCTCTCTTCCGCAGGTGTTTACACTTCCTGCTGCTGTGCTTCCAGGTACAGGTACGTGGGCTCCTGGCTCTGACCTCCCCCCGCCCGGGCCCCGCGGTCCACGCCGCGCCCCCTCCCTGTGCCCCACCCCTCCCGGGCGCCGAGCCTAGTGCACCTGTTCCCAGGGCGCGGAAGGGCGGCTCCGCGCGCGGCCGGCGCCGGCGGGGCACCGGCCAAGGGCTCGGGGTTCTGCTGCGGGGCTCGGCCTCCGCCGGCCTCTACTGGGAGGGGATCCCCGGAGCCAGCGGGGTCAGCCACTGCAAAGTGCCGGCTCCAAGCCCCCTGCCCGCAGCCGGTGAGGAGTCGAGACCCGGGGATTTTCTCTGCGGACTGTCCCTTGGCAAAACCGATCGCCCTTCTGAACAAAAAGGCTCCTTGCGGCGGAGTGGATTTTGAGTCCAGGGAGAACCAGCTTCAGTTGTAAATTACTCCGCGTTTTCAAAGGCGTTTTCAGCGTTGCAAGAGGAAGAGACAGACAGACAGACAGGGACGCGGTACCAGGGGAGGCTGGGCTGAGAGGGCGCAGAGTCCCGGGCCGAGGGGCTGTTCCCCGGGAGGCCGCTCCCGAGCCGGCGGCGCTCCTCACTCCCTCGGCCAAGGCGGTGCAGCCCTCGGCTGGTTCCCGGCCTCGCTCCCCGCTCGCTCGCTCGCTCGCTCTCCGAGAATCAGAAGAGGGCTTGGCGCTCAGCCTGGAAAGCACTTGCTAAAATCTGATCTGTTACTTCAGCAGCTTTCAGACTCGGGAAGGTCTTGGCACGCAGACAGTTGGAACACGCCGGCTTCCAAAGCCGTGGAAATGAAGGAAGGGGGGGGGCGGTGGAGAGAAGAGGGAAAGAGGGAGCCGAGTTCAGCCCCGATTAGAACCAGACCAGGGCTGCCTCAGCGCGGTGGTGGGGAGGGGGGCAAAGGGAAAGGGGATAGGAAGTGCCAGCTGCCCTGGCCCCCACCCACCTAGAGCTGCAAGGGAGGGGCTCTCGGAGGAGCTGGACTGGGGCCAGAGCAGACTATCTGCCCCGTTCCCCTCTGGGTTGCAGGCAGGTGTCCTCCCAAGGTTAGAGAGGATGCTTAGGCTTTAGACTTCTGGGGTCCAGAGGTGCCGGAGGGCCCCGAGCGGACACAGCGGTGGCTCTCCCCGTCCCCCGGCAGCTGTGCGCGCTGCGTGCTGCCGACACTCAGCCCCTCTCGCCGTGTGTGGGGTGGTGGTGGTGGTGGTGGGTCTGCTATGCCCCCTCCCACTTTCTGGGAGCGGACTGTTCCCGTGGGGCGGGCACTGAGCTGGGGACAGCTAGTTGGGGCTGGGGGCTGGAAGGCAGGCGGGCAGGCAGGCAGGATGGATGGATGGATGGATGGATGGACAGACTGATGGGCTCTTCCCTCCTGTTGGCCGGGCTGGGGTCCCCAGTGACTCCTTGAATCAATACAACTGGAGTCAGTAACTTAAGACTGGCTGTTTGCCAAAGCAGATGTGACCCTGTGCGGGGGTGGGGGTGGGGGAAAGGCTGGTGTTGGGGGGGTGGGGAGAGGCCAGTGCCAGGCATGGCCTGCCTGGCTTGCAGCTGAGTCCCCAGGCAGAGGGCAGGCCCCAGGGTCACTGCGGAGGATCTGCCTGTCTGACCTGGGCAAGTGCTCTCCTCCTGAGGGCTGCGCCTGGGGGTGGGGCGGGGGGGGTGCCGTGGCATGGGCGTGCAGGTGGAGAGGTGGCTGCGGACTGTGCCGCCCAAGCTTCCTGGTGCTTGGTGACTCTTGGTCCTTGAAGGGGGCCCAGCAGGGGTTGTGTGTGGTCTCTGCGTTCTCTGGGGGAGTGTGAGGGAGGGAAGCTGGCCCCTGCATCCCACCTCCACCTCCTTGGCCAGCGCTGGAGCCAGCCTCTCGGGGAAGAGCTGGGTGGTCTGTCTGGGTCCCGTCCATCTGGGCTGGGACTTCGAGCAGGTGAGGGAGCCCCCTCCCCTACCTCCCCTTCCTCTGCAGCTTTTCCCCATTCAAACGGCAGTGGGGCGGATGTTTTTAACCCATACACCCTTGGAGTGTGTACGGGTGGGGGGAGGGGCCCTGAAGCATTGCGCCCAAATGGTGCTGTGTCTGGGAGAGGGTTCCCAGCTCCCCTCTGATCTTCAAAGGCACCTAGGACTCCTAAAAGATACAGAAACACCACTGTGGGGTGTGGGGTGTTAGGGCAAGGTTGGCAGGCTCATGTCCCCGCCTCCCCCCGCCCCTTCATGCTGTAGGGACAAAGGCACAGTAGCCAGGAGAGGCAGAGACGAGGAGTCTGAAGTCTTCTCCCCACAGAGTGGGTGTGGGGCAGAGACCAGAGGGCCGCTAGGGCCTGGGCAGGGGGGTCTCCAGGGTGGCAGCGAGAGGCCCCTCAGTGAGCAGGCCGGCAGGCCTCCCTGCCGCCCGTGGGAGGGCTCCAGGCTGAGCCCCCCTTCCCCCTTCCCTGCCTGTAGACAGACCCCCGGGAGTCTCGGCTTCATCATTTGTGGAACAGGGCTGAGTGACCCACGAGAGGTGCGTGAGAAGTTTTGCAAGTCCTCCTCCACCCAGGCGGGCATGGAGTGGTGCTGGGAGCGGGGTGCACCTTGGCCCTTCCCTCCTCCGCGCCCCCCCCCCCGCCCCGTGTCTTGGGGGGCTGGTCCGGTCTGAGCCCTGGAGTCCCGTCTGAGCTCCTCCTCTCTTCCCATCCATCAGCCCACCAGGCCCAGAACGGCCCCCGCCCCGCCCCCAGCCACATTTCCCTGAGCACAGTCAATGCCAGACACCACCCCCCCTCCCCCGCGTGCCGAGCCCCGCCCTCTCCGCCGGCCACCCCGGGGAGCGGGAAGCTGGGAATTTAATAAAATCCCTTCTCCACACGACCCAGGACACCGCGATAGCTCAAATCGGAAGAATTTTAAAAATTTCCAAGGGGAGCAAGCGGCGTGACCAGTAAAATTGCTTTTCTGCACTTGGCTGAGCGCTGACAATGACACGGGCTGGGCCTTTCACGCGGCGCGGCGGCACCTGCCCGACATTGTTCCCGGCCTTCCCCAGCCGGGCCGGGCCGGGCGAGGCGGGCCAGGGCGGGGGGGGGGGGGGGGGGGGGCCTCGGCTGCCACCCGTGTCCCTCCCGCAGCGCCGCTTCCTCTCCCCAGGCCCCGTGCGTGCGTGCGTGCGTGCGGGCTCAAGTTGGGCAGTTTCCACGCCCCTCGCCGGAACAGCCCCCACCACCCCTGCCCCTGGCGTCCCTCCTCGGGGTCGGGAGAGGGAGGGGAAGCTGCCCCGCTGGACAGCACTTTTAATGTCGCACAGCGGCGGCGGCACCCTCTGTCCTTCGGCCCAGCCGTCTTCATTCAACAAGTCCCTGCTGGGAGCCTGCTTCCTGCTGCCCCGGCAGGCAGGCAGGCCGGGCCTGGGGTCCCGTCCCTGGCCCGCCACCAGGGCTCCTGTCTATACGCAGGCAGGCGCTCCTCTCACCGCGGCCCTGCGTCCCAAGGCTGGGAAGCGCATGGGGGGGGGGCGGGGCGTGTGCTCCTGCCTAACTCAGGTGGGAGGGAGAACCACCGCTGGAGTCAGAGAGCGCTGCGCGACAGGGTTCCAGAGTGGCCGCTGCATCAGAAGCGTGTCTCCTCCTTCCTTCTGAAGTCAAGAGGGGGTGACATTCCGACCTCACAGGTGGAGAAACTGAGGCACAGAGCAGGGGAGGGATTTTGGTTCAAGGCCATGGCTGACTAAGACTCTGGGTTCAAGCTCTTGTATATTTTTCCCACCAGCCCCGGCAGGCATTTTCAGAAAGAGTAGGAAGTGATTCCGAAGGAACACTGGCGGGGAGAAGGGTTCCCAGGAGATGGGCTGCCGCCCCCCACCATGCATCTGTGCAGGCGAGGGATGCTCAGGGCCCAGGCAGGCGTCTCTGGGGTGGAGGGCGCCTGGCTTGGAGTCCTGCAGGCTCTGGCCGTCCTGGAATGTTCTGGTCTGAAAGGGCCTTGGAGCCAGCAGTGGGTATTTTTTTGGGGGGGGGGGGAGCCCTGGGGGATTCAGCACCCCCCTCCAACTTCTTCCCAAGCACGGAGGGGGAAGGGGAGGGGCGCCCTGCTGACATTCCTGCATCATCACCTGCTCTGAGATAAGAAGGCGGATTTTTAAAATTTCTTGTGCTTGGCACAGCAGCCAGGGTCAGCAGGCTTGGGGCTGGGTGTTGGGGCCACCGAGCGGCCTCCACCCTGCCTTGGGCCCGTGGGGTCCCCAGAGGGAGATGGGGGGGCCCAAGGGGGAGACCTCCTGTCCTCAGCAGGACCTTTGGCTCTGACCTTGTCCTCGGGCAGGAATGTCGGGGGTGTGGGAGTCAGAGCGCACATAGATCAATCAGGCTAACAGGACACGGGTGGCCGCCACCAGGTATGGCGGTGTGCTCACTATGGGACAGGCCAGCGTTCCCTCGCAGCTTCTATGACACCCCACACAACCAGCGGGGATTAAGGGGTGAATTCTTCAGGGGAAGACAGTGAGGCCCAGCGGGGTGACACAGCCTGCCTCTGGGGGCGCATCGGGAGGGCGCAGGGTGCTGTGGCTCTGGAACCCTGGCTCCGTACCCAGCAGTTGCGAGGGCTCCGGAGTCTGCCAGCCTGGGTGACATGGCTGCTCTGCCTTGTCTTTGCTGTGTGACCCTGGACAAGTTACTCAACCTCTCTGGGTCACAGCTGCTGCACACGTAAGATGGGAAGAAAATAACCAACAAAACAGTCCCTACTGCCCAGGGGTGCCTCTGTGGGTCAGACCTAGCCCTGGGCCTCTCGCCCTGGCTGGACTCCCTGCCATCAGCCTCCTGTCCATGTGCTGAGCTCCCCTCGCCCAGGGCACTGCCACCTCCTGGTGACAGGGGGAGGGGCCGCTCTTGCTCTAGCCAGGCTTGCTGGGGGGGCTGGGAATATCATTTGCCCTGATACAGAAATGGCATAAGGCCTCAGGCCCCTTTAAAATGTTTCTGTGCCAAGGACAGAGCCAAGGACAAGCCTCCCATGGGCCAGAGCAGAAAAAAC